TTATTAATATCTCAAAGTTCTCGGGGCGCGTCATTTAATATATTATTACATTTTTCAGTGCGCTTTTTTAATTGAGAGAGGTTTGTCCAAGTTGTTGCTTGCATAAGCAGGCTCGTGGAGCGAAGAACAATGTGCATGCAGCGTGTAAGTATGAATAGGAAGAGTAAATATAAGTAGCTAATGTGAGTGAGAATCGATTGCTTCGGAATAATGACGCTTATTAGAAAACAACGTACTTACTTCGCGTTTGTAAATTAAGACTTTGTGATTCAAATGGCTTTGTTCTCCATTCCAGTTCCAAGAAAAAGCGTGTAATGATTTCTCTCTCTCTCTCTCTCTCTCTCTCTCTCTCTTTCTCTCACTCTCTCTCTTAATGCGACGCTGCGATATAATTATCCGACTTTCTAAGGTGTGATCTATAATTAGGTGGCGAGTTTGGAAATGACATTTTAAGCTAATTGATATCTTAAATTTCTTCTAGCTTCAATAGATCCCTACGGGTATTTGACTTTTTTGACTTTGCCTTAATTTCAAATTTACCTATCTAAGCCGTCGTGGTGCACGTTGATCCTCGAGATCTATGTATAGATTGGTCGGCAATGCCGAAAGACAAGAAAAATTTCTTACAAGAATTATACGTAAGAGCATGAACATTGCGTGCCTTTTATCTCTATTTGTTAAAACGTTATACAAAATTCACTTTTAATTGTAATAATAATAATAAGTCCCATGCATATCATCGTACTTTTTTTTTCTTTTTTTTCGATACGGCTTCCAACTACCTTCAAAGTACTATAATAAAATTATTATCAATTTTAATTTGATTGCATGATTTTTAAGGATTAGACAATTGACCATTATCATGGCATTAAATGTTATTATGCCTTGTTTCTATGCAATAACAACTATTCTACATATTGATATAACTATATTTTATTTTCATTATCAAACCTTATTACACATTAATATAAAGAAGAAAAAAATACGTAAATCACTCTACTTTTACATTTAAATAAAATTGCAAAACAAATTTGTTATATATATATATATATATATATATATATATATATCTGTTTGAAATGAATGTATTATATTCTGCCAATAATCAATTATAATTAAAAACAAAAAATAATAAATTATCAATATGATATAATGTGATGAATTAAAGATCAAAATCTATATGCAAGTAGAAATTATTATTTATTTAGATAATGATGAGGCTGATTATGAATAGTAGATTATATTATTAAATTTCAGATAGCTATCGGACATATGTACTTAAAATAATAATCTTGTTTTATGAATAAAATAAATAGTAGATCTGTTATACAACAGGCAAGTTGGAAACACAATATTCACAAGCAAGATAAATAGTATACAACTGTTACATAATAGGGCTAAAGCCTGTAAATAAACTTTTATAAATAAAATATTCAATAATTTAATGTAGATTAAGTAACGTGATAAAAATGAAATTCGTATCCATGAAATTTATACGGCAAAAAGTCTCGTTACGCAAGTTATCGAATATAAAATGAAAATAGAACAAGTATAATATGCTATATTTTACAATAACAAATACGAAATTTTGTTGTGCGAAAAATAATGCAATGTATAATATAATAGGCGTATTTATAAAGCTTCAGCTATCGATTATCGACATTATATAATTTCGAAATTAATAATATTTATTTAATATCATATCTAAGTGATGTAATAATTGAAAAGATTAAAAATGATTCGATCTTTTTCAAAGCTCGATGTTAACTACTAATTTTTTAATGCAAGCTCAAGCATTATTTTATATCTTTTAACGAAACATGTGAGATGAATAAAAAGAAAAGAAATAGAAAATTAATCTTAATTTCGTGAAGGTTTTATGTCCTTTGAAAAAATGTTTCACTTCAGTAGTCACATACTTAATTAAAATCTAAAATTACACTTCCATAGTAAAAATATATTACAATATTATATAACGTCGTGTATTGACTAAAGATACTTATTTATTCATGTAATCTCTCGTATCTGAGTGCTTTTTTAGCTTAAATCCCCGCTCGTATCTCTTGACTTGGGGTGCTTTATTAACAAAAGTCAGCTTGAATTCCACGATGACAGCAATGAAACTCCATTTAATTTAATTTAATTTACCTTCCATACATTACTTACAAATCTTAATTTTTCGTTTCTCTAAAAATGAAATTTATTTTCGTGTATTTCACATTATATCTATTTTATGGTTCAATTTCACGTCTAAATTGGCGCTTGAACACGCACACAAAAACACACGCCCGCATATATTGTTTTGCTATAAACGTATTTCTTTATTGATAAAAGTGTTTATAAAAGCCGCAAATATTAGAATTAATAGCGTTTAAATTTCTTAAAAAAAAAAAAAAAAAAAAAAAAAAAATACTTTACAACGCAAATATTTAAACATTGACAAACGCATTATGTCCTGAACCCTTAAATACTTTTGACAAATTTTTATATAATTTTATACGCTCGGCTATTTCACGTATATTATATTAAATTAGTTAACGTAATGCATGAAGTTGTACGCCTATTTTGGCTTAATCAGTATTTTATCAGTTGATTCATTCATATTGAAATATAATAAATTTCTTACAAACTAAAAATATTTTTAATATTTATTCAGTTAGAAATAGCAATTTTAGAGAACAAAGTAATTTAATGCCTCTTGTAAAATACTTGATTTTTGTTATATCACTTTACATTTTAAATGTAAATGCATATATTAACATAATGTATAATAATACTATAACAAATTAAATACTGTATTATTAAATAATATAATAGATTTTTTATCTTTAAGAACAGCGATGTAGTGTAAACGTTTTAAAGTTTTTTAATATTGTATAACAAAAAAAAAAAGCAAAAAAACAAAAGAAAGGTAAATTTCATTTTAGTAAAATGTCGTATACTTATGACTCTTTATAGCTAACTTTTTTTTTTTTTTTATTTTTATCAGTAGTTTAATTAATATTCAATTATAAATGATGATATATTGGTGAATAATATAATTGAAAATGATGATAATTGGTATACGTTTTACTAATAGAAATACGTGGCGTTGATTAGTTTATTATTATTTAATCTTGTATGAATTCTAATGCAAGATGTACGTTATTCGGTTGGACTGCGATTAATTTTCAGTTACACACGCGCCTTTTCCGTTGTATGTAAGCTCAAAATTAATTATTATATATCCGAAAGATTTATTTCATTCGTACTAATAAGAAATATAATTTTAATATAATGTACATCATCTTTCTTACCTTGTTAAACGATATATATTTTTCTCATTATTTATTAAGAATGAATATTTTTGTCTATTGTGAAACTACTATTAAATTTTTATTTTAAGCCAATACTTTCGTCTCGTATTCGACTATTATATCTTATAGTTTGTATTTATATAAAAAAAAAAGTTGCAATAACCAATATGTCCTTTGACATTAGGGTTGAGTGAATAGGATTTTTAATTCAATACATTGGGCTTCCTAAAAATAATAAAAAAAAAAAAAAAAAAAAAAAAAAAAAAAAACTAGCAATTAAAAAGAAAAGAAGAGAAAACTGTGTTTTACGTTAATTTATAAAATCTATGGCTTGACGAGAAAAATTCAATATAGTAGAATTAATATATTATTAATTTTAGTTTAATATTTATTCATTTTAAATTGAATAAATTGTACTTAAAACACTTAGTTCACTGCAGAACACTGCAAATAACTAGAAGCTAATAAATTAATAAACAATTTATCAGATAGACAAATTTCCCCTACTCGCTGTTTTTATTTTAAAAATAAATTCTATTGATCTAAATAAATATTAACATACTAAAGTAAATTCAATTAATAAAATTAGAGATATTTATAAATTTCATTTGGACATTCGGGTCAAAATAAATTATCCACAATTTGATATTGTAAATAATAATAATCATTAAAAGTCACGATATATAAGAAAATATTTATAGCCAGATATATATATATATATATATATATATATATATATATATGGATATAGATAATTGAATTTATTATTAATATAAACAAAATTTTAAACGTTTAATTATAAGAATAAATTTTCCATATTGGAACTACAATTGTAGTTTAGAATATTTTTAATATTTATTTTTAAATAATTTTTAAGTAAAAATATGAATTGTTATGAATTAGAAATTAATTTGTCGCAGTAAAAACATTTTGTTTAATAAATAAATAATAATTTTCTGTATAATCATATGTATTTCTAAAATTACCATAAAATTACTAATATTTATCATTGTCGTAGGAAATTTTATTTCCTCTTATCGTATTAATAATTAAAAATATTAAATAGTCAGTTTTACATCGTTACTTTTAGGAAACTGTTTGTAATTGTAAAATTTTAATTGAAGTAATGCCAAAAAGAAAAGAAAAGAAAAGAAAAATAATAATAATTCACCAGACATTACATAAAAATATGTTTCAATGTAAATAATTGATAATATTCATTTAATTAAATATTATTATGAAATTTTCTACCTCTTTATAAGTGCTTATGTTTTGGAATACATAAGAATTAAAAATGTACTGTCAAAATAATTCAATGAATAATTCCATTTCATCCATTGTTATTTTTGCAAAGTCATGGTGATGCGTTGGAGTGAAAACTACAATTATTTAATTAATCGAATCATGTATTTTATTTTTCAGATAGACAGATACACAGCATAAAAGGCTTCACCTGTTCCATCGATCCAAACGATCAACAAACTGTGATTATTAAAAAAGTTTGTTCGTTCGGCTCGAGTTATTAGGTGAGACCACCTCAGCAATCCAAAAACAATCAAAGATGTATGAAAGTGTATAACCAATAATAGCTTACATAATAAATTTTGAAATACAAAATTTCTCAAATGTTTTGCATATTTTCAACATTGCTTGAAGCACCTTATAACATTTAATTAATCGCAAAACAGTTTAATTAATTTTTATTTAATTATCTTCATCCTGTAAGTAGCTATAATAATCCGCGAGCAATTGTTGAAACTGCTTCTGTGTTGGTGAATAGGCCGACTGGGTCCTTAGAATGGCTTTTACTTTTATCAAATCCTACAAATTTACTTAAGTTAATTATTTCAATATTTTTATTATTTAAACGACTTGGTATTCATTAATATAAATGAAAGAGAATATTTTTTAAATATTATCTCTTCTGTTTTATTGAATCATTACTAATTTCGCTTTTAATACATTTTTATCCAATAAAATTAAATTACTTTTATTGATAAAACGTACGTAAAATATACATTTTTTTTTTTTTTTTTTTTTTTTTTTTGCATACAAATTACATATGCATAATGCATATACGTAATGCGATTGTCCCTGTTTCTTCTATATTCAGTAATTATTTTAAATGGTAAAAATTAGCATTAAAAATCGTAAGTACAATTGTTTATAAATACATCGTTTGAGATTTTCTGAGATATTGAGAAAAATTGAACTTAAAAGTTGCCATAAATACACATAAAGAATAAGTATTTTGTATATAAAAATTATTGATACGTATTATATATATATATATATATATATATATATATATATTATGAAAGCTCTTACTTCTGAAATTAAATAATTTTGAAAATGAAATATATACTTATGTTAATATCCAATTATAAATATATTTATAATTTGCGTTATGAATAATTAATATTTTAAAAGCAGCAGTAAATGTTAATATTATGTATTTGCGTATGTGGACAGTTGTGCCTATATATGCACGAATACAATAGTGAGAATAATGTGTAACATTAGATATCCAAAGTTGAAGGCGTTTTCACTGATATTTAAAATCGCTTTTTACGTAAAAATTTTAATTTCATTAAACATAATATTTTTATTCTTATATTTTATTATTTACTCGCTGACAAAAATATACGCACATCCGCGCACATGCCCTCTCACCCACACATACGTATATACAGAATTTCTGTTCACTCTAACAATATTTCTATTCGTATAAATGATATAAAAGGCTGAATTATTACCGAAACCTTGAATTTAATACATTGTACTAACACGCTTCTTAATTCTATTTTAAAACCTTAATATTTTTCGACAATTACTTGTTATTCAACTGTATAAAATGAAGACATAATGATATATTTATATAATATTGATTATAGATACCTAGATCTTCTCGGCAAGAAATGTAATAAATAATTAAAAGTAAAAACATTTCAATTACATTTTTAACCTTATGTTTACTTAACTGTTTACATAAATATATCGAACCGTTTTAAATATATATTTAGATACGCATATGTTCATTATATACAAATTTTTTATTTCATATATTATGTATTAAACGAATACAGTTAAAAGTGTAATAATAGTATGGTAATATTACCTGTATAAATTGTTCATTTCGAATTCGTGAGTTTTCACGTTTAGCCTGTAGCGCTGATAATGATAAATCACTTAAATTTTTCGTATCCATGGATTTTAATTTTTCATGCAACCTGTCGCTAAAATTTTTCATCACGTTACTTCTTTTTATTACTTAATTATTACTTGATTAAGTAATCAATGGCGAATGAATGCTAACAAATATTCAATCATATACTACCACTATGAGTATTATTATAATACTATTATATTATTAATAAAATTATACTTTCGATGGAATTTATTCAGTATTACTTATATAAAATATTTATCCTACATTACCAAATGTTCTAAACGAAATTATTAAATAAAAATACTATTAGTGAGTGTCCACTTGTCAGCAAGTTCTTGTCGGTTGGCAGTCAGTTATTATTTTTATTATTTTTTATTTCTTATTTTATTTTTTTGCTTTTTATTCAAATATATTAAAACAATCGTAATAGGTTCAATTCAATAATTTCAGATACTTTTTAATATAATTTGATACAAATCATTTTAAATTATGAACATTTCGAAATGTTTAATCTATCTTGATCTATAAAATTAATCATAATGGAAATTATAATTTATTAAAATTTAGAATTCAAAAAACACAATAATTTATATCTTTGTAATTTTATTTGTGAATTAATAATTTTTTTACAAATGTTCGAATCGTTCAACATTACAATAAAATTTAATAAAAACGCATAACAGTTAATCGTACGAATTTGGTTCTTCCGTCATTATATTGTTGTACAACATACCAATTTGGACAATTATGCAGTATTTTCAAATATTATCTTATGAAAAAGATAATCCATTGTTATTTTTGAAAAAACTATCATACAAAATTTATCACTCTTGAATAGTCAAATATTACGATTTTTAACTGCTACTAACTCGTCAAAGAAACAAAAAAGGAAGAAGAAAAAAAGATGAATATCAATTTTATAACTAATTATAATATTCTTGAATCATTTGTATTTAATAATTTGCATTATTATGATGAAATTAAAAAAAAAACTTTCGAGGTTACTTTGTAAATTATATTGAGTATATTGAATATATTGAGTAGTTATCGATTTATTTTTATATACTAATATTCTTTAAACTATTATTATTAGAATATTGCCTTTATTACTTACTTCAAGATTTACAATTAATTGAGGACTAGTGTTTACATTTATATTTTTATTCATTATTTCATAATAGTTTTAATTAATATAATGCTAAGTATGTACCATTCGCGTAGCTTCTCTTCCAGTGCTTTCTCTTCTTCAAAATATTTTTCAGTAATCTTCTGCATTACCAAATTCGGTTGATAATTCATATTTATCGATTATTCACAGAAATAAGATAATATATTTTTAAGAGACCTTATGCTTTTAATTAAGAATACAAGTGTTATTTTACGAATGGCATGCGTAACGATAGCAACGAAAATCGATTTACCAGAATAGAGAATACCGTGGAATTATGTATTGCTGGTATGTATAAAGTACATTAGCAAATATTCATTTTTACTAATTCAATATGACATTTGTAATGCAATATTTTATTAAATAAATTGAATTTTCAAAATTGTATTATAATTTTTAATATAATAACAGTTCTCTTACATTCGATTATTATTCTAATACTAAGAATATTAACATTGCAAAAAGTTTACCATAAATTATTAATTTGTTATTTCCTAAAATAATTTATATATATATATATATATATATATATATATATATAAGTATTCATATTATATTCAACAATTATAAATTGTTTATTGCTAGTGCACATTTTTTATAAAAGTTTTATTAAAATTCATTCATTATTAATAATCCGATATTGTTATATCATAAAAATATTTTATATAAATGCAATATTACATTTACCATGTTTTAAATTTATTTTTAATAAATAAGTATATTAAAGATTAAAAACAATATTAGTATTAAATAAAAGTCCCTTTCAACAATTTCATATTTTTACATTTTTTTTTTATGATACACACTAACTATTATATTCACATATGTACCTGTATTAACAAAAATAAAATAGTATGCACATATTATAACTGTTCGAGTTGTTATTCTTCTATAGTTTGTGATTTCGGCTAAAAGAAAAAATTATTTCATGTACATTGATGTTAAAGTAAGTAAAATTATTGTGATTTATCTTAAGTAATTGTTTGTAAAGTAATAGAACTTACCATTATATATACATGTCTTGGAATAGATCTTTCTATTACTTCTGCAAGCCTAGTTTTATTTAATTTATATTCCTCGTCTGAAAAAATACTTCATATAATTAAGAAGATATTTCATTTAACTTTTTTAAAATATAATTTATACCAGTTGGGACTGTCAAAGACAATGACGGAAGAGCTACAAAACCAGCAATTAACGGTAGAAGAATCCATTCGACTTTTTTTTCACTTTCAGGAAGAATACAAATATCTATCTAAAATATTCATGAAAAAAAAAAAAAAAAAAAAAAAAAAAAAAATAATAATATTAAAATATTATTATTCACTACTACAAGCTATTCGCTACTACAAAAATGTAAATTTTCATATTACAAGTTATTGGAAAGGCTTTACAGTCTTTTACACATATTTTTCACGCACAAAAATTTATAGTAATTTAGCAAGATAAAGTTTCTGAAATTTTAAAAAAATAACTTCTAATTTTATTTTCTAATCCTGTTAATAATACATTTTCAATACCTTTAATTGGAAAGCTAATAGAGAATAAATATTCATACCTGTTTATGACCAGCAAACATGAAAGCCTCGTTGGCTTCCATCGTCAGTCTTAGAGTTATTAAATAATCGGAATGATTCTTTATAAAATATGAAACACATAGAGGCGTACGAACCCAACCATGAGGAGGCAATCTCGTTTCTAAACCTATAACTGCATCTTCCACCCACAACGGAGTTAACGTAACACTACTACTGGTTACTATTGTATTTTCATCGTTTGCCCTGTATTAAAGTCAAGGAACATATATAAGATGTCAATTATTTTCATCGCAGTACAACAGAAACAATCTTACCGTCGCCATTTAATTGTATAAACTCCTGTACTTGTTGGTTGCTCGCTCCCAATTTTCGGAACAATACAATATACATCTGTACCAGCTTCACTTTCTTCTAAAACAATGTTTTTTAAAATGCTTTCTTGAGATAAACTCCTTTCTTCTATCAATGAATTGCCCTAATAAAAGAATACTTTGACGTATTATATATTCTATGCAAGATAATTAATGAATATATTTATTTATAATTAATGTTAAACGCATAGAGTACCAATTCTATTGAAGTATCTTCTATTTTAATAGGCCATGGTGAAGTAGAAACGATGTGAGGCATAATAAATAAGGGTTCGTCGATAAATCCTTTTGTAAGGGGTTCGTACAATATTGTGTAAAACTGGGTGGACACTTCAAAAGGTTTTACAACGGAGAATGAATAGGTTATTTCCTTTGAATCTTTTTTTTTTCTACATCTTGAATACTCGGCCTTGATGTCAAATAAATTAAGCATATTTATAAATTCGTTGTACTTAAAATATAAAATCATTTATATCGAATGAAGATATTTTGCAATACCTTGATTAAGAAATTTCTATCGCCAACATTATGAGCTCTAACGAAAACTACTTGTTCAACGGAACTGGTAGGTTCGATAGTATCAATTTCAAATATAACAGATGATTGCTTTTCTTTCATATTTAAACTTAATTCGGCTAAAAATTGCATGTACATTACAATCTAATATAAAAGCTTTGTTTATATTTATAAAAATCAACTTACTCAATTGTTCACTATTGTTATCTTGTATCAAATTTACGAAAATATTTACATTAGAGATCTTATCACTTGACGATACTAATATTTTTACAGAAAACCATTCGCCTAAAAGAGCTGGTTGCTTGCATTCGGTAATAATTGTTACATTTGATTCTTCTTGTTCAATTTTTGCTGTAATTAGTGGTCGAACGGAATCAAATAGTCCTCCTCTATGAAACAATATTTTTATATAAACTAAATTTGAATTGATTTGATTTGATTTGAATTGATTTGATTTGATTTGATTTGATTTGATTTGATTTGATTTGATTCGATTTGATTTGATTTGATTTGATTTGACTTGATTTGATTTAATATAATGTAATTTAATTTTAATTTTAATAGAATGTCCTTAAATCATAATAATTTTTTTAAAATAATTCATCTACCGGAGCTGCTGAATTTCTGGATACATGCGATCGAGAAGATTTGTTTCTCTCCCAGAGGCCGAAAACTGTAATATTACGCTGCATCTTTTATCATTTCCAAGATTTAAATTAACTTTATTAATCTGAATTTCAAGTGAATCGTCCAATTGTGGTGCTTCGAATTGACAAAGATATTTTTTTACTTCTTTGGCACTAAATATAAGATTTCTATCATGACTATCAATTATGGGAATTTCCGACTTATATCCTGAACCAGTTACTGTTACCGATATTTTAGAAAGTTCAACCTCAGCATGATAAAGATTCCTAGAAAAATGTAACGATAAATTTTCATAAAAAAGATGATGTTTATTAATTAAAAAGAAATTGTTTAATTTGTAAATTATTTTAGTTTTTTATATTTTATTTTTATGTTTTATATATATATGTATTTGTATGTATGTATGTATGTATGTATGTATGTATGTATGTATGTATGGCTACGTATTACTTATTTTTTATATTATTTCATATTCCATTCATAGTTTGAATTAAAATTACCTAACAAAAACCTCGATTGTGACTGTAGAATTAACCGTATATTTTGGCTGAGTGAAACAGGCTTTTACATCGATGAAAGATGCCATATTATCGTCAATTTTAAAAATAAATGATTCATTTTGGTTTACTTGCGCAAGCCACTTATCAACAGCGCAGTCTTTTAAGTCTTCGGATAAATTTGGTTCGGAATTCGGTGGTTTATTCTATTAAACATAACGATAAACAAATTTTTAAATCAAAGCAAATGGTTAATTATAAAAGAAATATTCACTCCAAACCTGAAGTATATTTATAATGTTTTCGAAAATGTTAGTTTTACGCTCTATTGAAAACATAGTTGACGGACCTAAGGCTTCTAAAGCCAATATAAGATAATCTTTGATACTGGCTGATAAATATGCAGCTTTGAGAGCACTTTTTAATACGTCAGTGAGAAGGACAGGCCACCGCTCACTTCGATATTCCCATAACATGTGCATTAATAACCTTTAACATTGTAATGAAAAAACTGTTTACAATTAAAAATACAGAAAATATAATTGTATGTTATGTACTTACGTCAATACTTTTCCATAATCCTTACAACCAAAATATTCTTCAGCCATCTCCACAACTTTTAAATATATAATTGGATAATATATTAAAATTAAAATAAATGTAGCAGTAATGATAATATAGGAATAATTTACCTAAAAGACGACGTTTTCTTGGACATCTATATATTTTGAATTGTGATATCGCACTCCCTAACAAGCCAATTCTAATCATCTGAAAAATGAAATGTTCATTAAATACGAAGTCTATGGAGATATTCAATTTCTTTAAAATACAACTTCGTTTTACAGAGTGATTAACTGTTGTCTTTTCTTTGTATTGCAATGCTTGAATAGCTGCAGCCTCTCGGGTCAAATCAGCCGGTTCCGCATTAAGTTTCCCGGGTCTCCAAGGTCTTTGACCATAAAATTCGAGTTTTTCCTCTCCCGCCAGCGGGTCTGGGTCCGGATACACATCGACATTCTAAATAATTTCATAATTGTACGTTCAATTTCTTAAGGCATCTCAACATATTCTCATCTCTTAATTTAATACTTACATTACACAGTTCCTTACAAGCATTGTGCCTTTGTAATGCATGATTAGCAGCCATTTGAAAATAATAACCCGGATGTTGTGTCTGTACAGCTGGTAATCCTTGTCTTATCGCTTCATTAAAGAGTTCTGCAAAGATTGAGTACTGAGTACATATCCAGGTATGATGCTCAAACATCAATTCTTTTGGTCCAGTCCTCGTCATAAATCTGTCCACGTGACTCCGGAATTGAGCTATTGCCTCTTTAGGAAGTTTTAGGCTAAACATAAGCCTGGACAATTTATAATTTATGAACGATGCAACGGTTTTAATCTCAAGGGAATTCGTATCTACCATTCGAATATCTAGTAAATTATTGTACGCTTGTTGATAGTGTCTAAAAATACATGTAATATTTAATGTCACAATCATGCATTTTAAATATATTAGTAAAGAACAGGAGATTGATTACTTATGAGCTGTATTTTGATCTTGTTTCAACTCGTTTAAAAATGCCATTTTAAACTGATGTCTTACAAACAAATATTGATGGGCAGTTTTATTTAACTGCTCTCTGTGACTTTTAACAATTCGATATTCTTGGTGATAAAAACTTTGTGCTAAATCGTAAAGAACATGCTCTAATCTAAGATATAAGGTATAAAAACTTTATTAAAATATATTAAATTTAACGCCATACATCACACAATGTAACAATTATTAACGAGAGCGTAATCTATTGTATTATATATTCACTTAGTTATTTATTATGTATTTACCTAAATGTGTATCCTAATAAATGATCCGCGTATGGTAAGAAATATAGGGTTTTAGATGTCAATTCACAGGCGGCGCAAAGTGCTGTTGCTCGTTCTGTTGCAACCAAATCTTCGGTACCGGGAGGCGACAGCAATTCATTTTGAATTAAAACTATAGCAATTTTTGTATTTCTCCCTTCTAATGCAGCCCTGTGAAGTAACAATAAATTTTACATTTAAAAAACATATATATATATATACTTCAATTAATTATAATATTAAATAAATACCTTAAAGATTGCACTCTTGAAGCACATTCCATTTTTTTCTCATTCCACTGTGGATCATGCCAATCAAGATCATAAAATACAACAATTACTGCTAAAACTTCGTTTAAATACTTATTCATCCAATTTCTTTTTAAAATTCCTTTAGGTATATACCATTCGTATGAATTACGCTAAAGATACAATAATATAATTTAAAAAGATACAATCATATAATTATGTATATACAAAAAAATAATAAAAATAGCTTTGTTTAAATTAAGTATTATTATATACAAAATTTTACCCCTAATTTAACTAAATGACAATTATAATAAACAATTGATCTTATCGGATCGCTAAATACTGTACCAGTTTGTTAACTAAAAGTTAATGAAAGAAATTAAAGCGGTATATGAGATAATAAATGATACAAACTTTTGGCTTAACAGTTGGAAACTCATGTGTACTACTAATCAACTTGAATTGAACCGCAGCACCATCAGGTCGACGATTATTAACAAAAGCATCCCAAATGGAATGATGAACTGAATTATAAATATCTAATCCAAATAAACCAATAAGAGCCAAAGGCCTTGCCGTTAATTCTGCTGGTAAATCTGACATTCTAATACATTTGTCATAAATAATAATAATATAATTAGTATTGTGGTGTTAATATCCATTGGTATTTGTTTAACTTACATTTAATAATTTTTACAAAAATTGTTATAGTGAAGAAAAATTACACATTTCTCTATGAAATGTTTATTTGAAATATTACACTTTCAATTGTTAAAAACAATCATTGTATTGTTTATTAAAAACAACTTAATAGCTAGAAATGGTAGGTTATGGTGTGTATTAAATTATGAACTGCCCTTTTAGTTGTGCAAGGAAATTTCCAACAAATTAAGCAGGTTGTAGCATTGCAGGTGTTGGAAACGCGCATTTTTAGTTAGTCCATCTACCATTTTACCTTTATATATACCAAATATCACCTTGTCTCATCTCTGGTATCCTGGGAAAAGTAATTTCATCTTGGTTGGCTGTTGTATACGCGGGGATTTTAATAAAGGTAAAAAAAATTAATTGAAATGAAGTTGAAGGGAGAAAGGCTCATCAACTTCCAATATTTAAATTGTTAATTCATATTTTTATAATACTTCTTACTAAGTTATATTATTCTAGCTTTAAATTCAATAAAAAAATATAATAATACAATCTTATATATATATATATATATATATATATAAATACAAATAATGACGTATACAATTTATTATATTATATCATTTGAATTATTTTTCATAAACTGATTATAAGTGAGCGTTGAGCTTTTATTCAATTGATATACATATTTTTTCAATTAGGTCAATATATATTTAAAATAACGAGAATTTAGTAAAATCAAGAAATGAAAAATTATATCAAACGTACGATTAATATTTACAAAATTTCCACTACAGCTTCTTTTAACTTCGACAATCAAGTTTCAAGTTTTTTGCAAGAAACATTTAAACAATATTATAATCGCACTCGATACTTACATTCAATTGACTTTTACAATAATGCACAAATATTTATGCATGTTATATAGTTAAATAATTGTAATAACTAATACGATATATCCCGAATAACATTCATTGCATAATATCATTAGGTCGTTTAATTATCAATGAAATTGCATTAGCAGCAACTATTTAAGATCCAACATACGTTTGATTTAAAATGCAATTGCTACGGCATTACGCGCAACCCTGCAATCAGACAACCAGTTCTACAAGGATACGATAAAGTGCCACGTAATGAACCCGAAACTCCTGGTAAATCATCAGTTATTGACAATTGTTTGACGATTAGAACGAAAGACAGACGTGCGATGTGTCAGATTAGCTTTCCTCTGTATTTTTTGTACACCGGACTTCCCTAATAGTCCCCACCGGAGCGTTTCGCCTGACTGCGCCTGCACTGCGACTCCGAACTCCTCCTATTTTGTAAATAAACAAATGACTTTATTGTTAAATAAATTACTCGTTTGATGTGCTATATGTAAATGTATAAATAATACGTAATGTAATAAACGTATAAATGGGCCATCTAAGGCGTACATATAAGGCCTGAGCTACAAATATGATTTTTCCCAAACAATTGAAGTTTGCGACGCGCCCAATTATTATTTTGTCACATTTAATTAGCGACATTTTTGCTTAGTCTTCAAATATTCTACTAATATTAATGAGATTAATAACCGTGACAATGACTACAGTGATCTGATTTAATATTACCATCAAGTTATGATTTGCAGGAGATATGTAAATTTAGGAACAATACTAATGGGCAATAATACCTGAGTCGCAATATTTATCAACGGTAAGTAAATAAATTAAAAAGTATTTGTGAACGAATGTATATGCAATAAATGAAGAAGTCGATAATCTAAGCAAAACATTATTTAAATAACTTTTTAACCTTTAAAGATTAACACTTAATAATTATTAATTAATTTTTTAAAGCAACCAAAATGTTATTTATTTTACAAAATTTAAATCTTTTCTTATAATTGTATATAAAATTAAATTAATACAATAATATAATTTAATATATATTTTAATTATTTTTATTCATTTACCATTTAAAATTCATATCTCTATTAATTTTAGAGAATGGCAGTTTCGTTTATATTTAAATATTCGTTTAAATCCTTAGCAAATATAATTATCTCATTTGCAATTGGATTTATTCGTCGCCTATTTAATTCAAATAGAATTAGATTCAAATAGAATAGATATAGGACAAATGACAAATTCTAAAAAAAATATTCGTATGCATAATGCAAAATCTCATAATACTATGAAATATTTTCAGTTTTAACTAAAAAAAAAAGAACATTAATAACATCTAGTTTTTTCAATTCAAAAATTACTTACTATGAAGTAGAGAGAGAGACAGAGATACAAATAACAAGGAGCGAGTTTTAATTTTAAACTTCTTTATTTTCATTGAATTCAATATGATTCAGTTTTTTTTTTTTTTTTAACTATTTTATTAATATTCTGTATGTGTAGATATATGTACGATTTCTGAATTAACCAAGGAATTATATAATACAGGAATGAGCAAACGATACCAAATTATGAAGTATAATTATTAAATGAACAAAATTCTTAAAAATACCACAATTTATCGATATTTACAATTACCAATTAATGTACAGTGTAATGTGACTCTTTTACAATTAAGCATCACAATGAACACGGATGCCGGTGTGATAGGACAATCTTACAACTGATACACAAATGTTTTATTATTATGGGAAATAATAAAATTATACGTATTATTTTATAATGATAAAAATTAGTTTAAAATACTAATTATTTTCATTCATATTTTAATAACATTATAATAACATATTATAATAAATTCAATTATTGGAATTATGTGTGCAGTTGTGAGCTTAATAATAGATGAATAAATAAACAGTTGAGACTTAAATGTTAAATGTGACATTAACTCGACAGATCCACAATGATATTCCAATTTTAATTAATGATGTTTATTTTAATGTTGTTTCTTCTTGGACATGCTTATTCTTATAAAATTAACTATAATATTACTAAGGCTATATGTGTGATATCTCATTTACAAGATTTATTAGGCCTAATATTGTTTTAAATACGTCTATATTTACAGAATGTAGATCGAAAAATCGAAAAAATTATTTATATAAAAAAGCATGAAATAAAAATCAATTTATCTCTTGCATAATTCGAAATTCGATGCAATCATATTAATAATAATGATAATCGTAATTATTTCGCGCAACACGAAATAATGCAAGCGACGCATCCCGTTAGAGATGATCTAATCTTGTTAGTGCTGTTGTTATTTGTTATTGCTATTATCGGGGGTAATATTATAATTATTATAAATTGCTATTTAATCATCGTCCTTATTATTATTATTTGTATTGTTATATTTCATTGAAGTTCAATGGTGCGTATGAATTATAATTGTTTGGATTCGCCGATTAAAGCAGCTTTCCATTGGCTTTAATTTACGCATGCGCAAATTTCAGGCCAAAAAAAAATAAAATAATAATAATAATAAATTGTAAAAAAAACAAATCCCACTAGATTTATAGCCTGTATTACGTATCTTATTATATTAAAATATTATACTTTTGTTTATTATTTGTATTTGATTAATGTAATGAGTCTTAATAAATTGCAATGCATAATGTACGGTCATTTGTTATTATTTTCATAACCTAGTTAGTTGAACAGTGGAATGTAGGTAACAAGCAGAGTAGAAAATTATTATTGCGCAGAATCGAAATAAAATAGCAGATAGATAAAGTGAAATAATCGATTCGAATTATAAAACAGTTTTTTTTACTTTGCAGATGAAGTTTGTGTCTCAAGTGGGATATTATCAAAAATACTCGAAGCAATGAATTTCAAATTAACTAATAAATTAGTATTATCGAGTCTAGATTTTAAGAAATGCCGAGCAGTAAGACTAAAAATATTTATAACCCTTTGTAACACAATATTATAATTGATATATTAATGTGCTCTCTAACCTATGATTTTTTTTTTAGAGGAAAAAATGAAAATATATGTGCATTTGTATTTATATTGATGAATTCCTTTTAGATTCGGCTGTATGCGACAAAGCAAATAGAGAATAAAAGAAAAACTTCGAAAAAAGCAGAAGATGATGAAATTGAAATACCAGTCAATCCTCTGAAGAAACATTATTCGTCCAATTACCAAGTAAATGGTGAAATATACGATAGAAAGCCATTCAAAATGATATGCGAAGAAGGTAAAATCTATAATTGGTGTTTATGTGGACAGAGTAAAAATCAGCCTTTTTGCGATGGTACGCATAATAATATTTTCCTCAAAGTTAAAATTAAACCGATTAAATTTACCGTAAAGAAAACAAAGGAATATTGGCTATGCAATTGTAAACAAACATTAAATAGACCATTTTGCGACGGTACTCATAAAACATTATTGGAAAAAAAAAATGAAAAACATTGAATTGATGGTATATTTTTTAATCACATAATTTACAGTAAACCATCAGAATTAATAATTGTAAAAATCAATTTACAAGGTTTTTGTTATAAATAGATTTATACTACTTGTATATATAAATAATACAAAAAAAAAAATAGAAGACATTGAATTATTACATAATTTTGGTGTTTTTATCTTAAAATCATTCCTATATTTACCTATTTAATTTTAATAATATTCAAATAATTATACACGAATATTTATGTATTTATCTTTCGAGATGGAAAAACGACTTTTATTATAAAATGAAAAAAAAGTATCAGTACTAATTTTGACCACACTGTTCTTACTTCAATGTCTTTTTTGTAAACAATTTTCACGAAGTAATTGTGTTTTCATCCAAACGTTATCTTTTGTATAACCATTTAATATTTTAGTTTACATTTATTATTATACATTTATTACTTTTACAATATAATGTGCAAAATTTTAGAGTAGATTTTAGAAAAAATTTTTTTTTTTTTTTTTTTTTTTTTTTGTTATCAAACTTCTTGAAATATTTGTATTACTTGCAAGCTTTTAAAAGTATTTATTAATTCGCCATACATTTTCCTTGAAATTGTAAAATCAGAACTTGAATGAAGTAGTAGAAAATAATATTTGCATCATTGTAAAAAGAAAAAAAGAAAAAAAACTAATAAAATTAACCTGATTTTTAGATAGTTATTATAAATTCGATACTAGTGCACTGTTACTTTTTCCATTTTATGAAATTTTAAAACAATAGACAAAATAATAATAACTATAATGTTTGAATGTCTTGAAAAAACTTAAGTGCCATGTATATGATATATATACACGCATAATTTACATGTACGAAACATATTTTATAATTTACGCTTTAAAATATTTCCCAATTAAAAAAATTTTTACATTCATAATTGTTTCCTCAAAATTTTTAAACTTCTACTAACACAAAATAAATCAATGACAATAAATTGAATATGCTTTATAGCAATTAGTTTTTATATAAAATTCTGAATGCTGCGATTGTTTCACATCAAAATTTCAACTTAATTAAAAAAAATAAAAACTGCAAGAATTCAAAAAAATGAATGATGGTACGGAGATTGAAATTGGCACTTTTATTCATTGTTGCGACTCGCCCAGTTAAACTTCGAGTTTCTATTCTAAAAATTAAGTATAAATACATCATCCCTGTCTTTTAAGTCCTTTTTTTTTTTTTTTATTATTTAACGGTTCTAAACCATCAGATGCAATTTTTTTCAAATTCTTTTTTTTTCTCCTTTTTTTACAAAAAAGCTATTTGAGCAAATTTTCGTTATCAGTTGTCTTTAAAGATAAAGCTATTAAAGCGCAAACGTCGGTGAAGTTACAAAATTTATAATTATAATACACTTTACAGCTTGATAGTATCATACTTTTACACAATGTGCAATGTCGTCACAGACAGGTATGCATAACAATTGACAGGTAGCTTATTTTGCATAGAGAAACTAACATTTGCCATTAAAATCGGCTTACGCGCCAAACACATGGAGCTTTTTACGAGCTCCTATCTTTTGGCCGTAGGACGTATACGCTCCTTTTCCATTTCCCTCGCTTCGGCTACCGTCCACTCTGGATCATTTGGATCTTCTCCTTCCATATCGCATAAGGCAGATTCCGTCGAATCTGATTCCTGAGAATCGATTTCTGCTTCCTAAACAGTTAATTGCTGGTATAAAAGGTAGAATATTTTTTCCAACTTTACGAAGATTATTGTTTTACTAATATCTTACATCTACTTTTTCTTCCTCTTGAGAACACACAGATATCGACGATGGTTGTAAATGACCACCTGGCATTACTTCTAACATTTTTTCATAATCCTCATCGGTCAGTGGGAAAATTCTTGGCTCGTACGGTAAGACTTGCTGTAAAACAAACGTTGACATAATCTTTATTATTTATTAAGACTTTTCAGGTGATAATTCAGATGGAACGATAAAAGGAATTACTATTCTTTAATATTCAAACACCCCGATGGTACAAGAATTTATCTTTATTATTGCATATAAAGTATAAATAATTTACAAGTAAAGTAATTTAATGATATCCAATGGAAATATTGTAGGTGTAAAGTTCTACTGACAAAATAATTGACGAATCATTTTCGTGCACTCGAAAAAGGATCTTAATACGCTCTTATCGAAATGTCGAAAATTAAATAAATTAATTTTGCCGTACCGTCGTCTTAAGGCATTCGATAATATATAAATACCCTCAGCAATTGATATATCCGCGTCGATGCAATGGTATTTTACGGCACCCCCCCCCCCCCCCAACCCGACGTCAATAATAAATTATTAATCGTAAGGTTCGAGTAGGACGAAGGGCGTTTATATTTGAAAATTACACGTCGCTCTCCAAGCCTACCTCGTGCTCTTCTTCGTTGAAGGAGCTGACCATCAGTTCTTCTTTCTGCGAGCGCGTCGACGAGGACATGGTCCTGCGGCGCAACGCGTTTTGTAGAGAACCCGAGCGATGATGGGTCTCCGACGGCGGCTGCTGCTGCTGCTGCTGCTGCTGCTGCTGCTGCTGCTGCTGTTGGTGATGATGGTAGTGGTGGTGTTGCTGGTGCTGGTGCTGTAGCTGTAGCTGTTGCTGTTGCTGTTGCTGTTGCTGTTGTTGCTGCAGCTGCTGATGATCACCATCATGGGCGTTCGAGGGTGTTGCCGGTGGTGAGGTTATTGGTGACATTGTGTCTCCGCCGAAATCGCTCGCATGCGGCGACATCGGATCTGTAACAGATCAACCGGACTCGTGAGCTCCTTTCCTAATGAGGTGAAGGAAAATGGGATTACTTATTATTAAAGTGGCAAGCCAAGAAGACAGCCAGCGGCGACATATCAATGGCCTCGGCTTTATTGCCTCGTTTTATTCTCCATTACTCCATAACTTCGCGTTCTTCGGATTTTCGTTTTGTTCTGTTCGTTTTATCGTGAAAATATTTTGTCGCTCTTACAGGTCGTTCGCAACGACATCGTCCACAGCGCTGGATCTTCCGTTTAAAAATTTGTAGATATATTTGTTGAAAAATACAATGCGTTAACTGTCATTAGCTCACATATCCACTTATACGAGAAAAAACTGTAAATACACGTGAACGAAATTCCCACAAGTGTATTAAATATTCAATGAAATAATGGTTTTAACTTATACATAAATGTTACTTCGTTAAACATATCATTAAAATAAATTAATACAAGCGTTAAACATGCCTTAAAAGAAGGTCATTAAGGTATGATTATGTGTAGTCAAGAGATAAAAAGTAATTATTTGGATTTTTCTACGTAATTAATAAGCAGGCATGATAATTTAATGTAATAGAAAATTGTCGGAAAAGCGTTATATTATTTTTAAAATTATAATATAGCTTTAAACAAAAGGTAGTGGTAACAATATTATCGTAGTATCTTTGTAAAAATAATTGGTTAAAATCCCGTTACTAAAAAAAAAAGTAAAAAATATTACTATAACTAAAAACATCTTTAGTGCTTAAACAAACGATTTTATAAAATTTCATAATTTTGAACAGCGTGTTTATGGAAATTAAAAGTTACAATTGCTATATATGTACTTTGCTTATAAAATGTCTACTTTTTGTTTGTAATATTACACATTACGATATAAATTGAAAACTCCCTCTTTCAAATGCCAATGTTTAGGTTATTAAACACACAAAAATTTGCTCCAACAAAATTGGTTTTTAAATAGTCATTAATCGCCGCTTATTAGGAAGTTATATCTTATTGTGTAATTTTAATAGTACTAAAGCAAATACAATATAATCATAAGCCATACATTGAAATATTTGATTACATTTAAAAACTTTGAAGACTTGACTTTGAATCCATTAATTAGTGATATGATTTGAAAGACAGTGAAATTTTAGATAATTTAGTGATACTATTCAGCGTACAATCCAGATGGTTCTATCAGATCACAATGTAATTTCTTATATCCTGTATTCTATATTTTGTTGATAATTAAGACCAAACAATATCATCATCAAAATCCAAAACTCATGGACACATACTTTCCAAGCACCGAGATGTATCTTCCATGTAATTGAATGGTAAAATAATTTGAATTTAAAAAATAAATAAAAAAAAATGATAGTCAGTCTTATGAAAATACATCTTGTAATATATTAGCTTGAAAGATATTCTATAAATAAAAATATAAGATATTTATTGACCTAGTCGAATATATGAAGATACGAGCTAAGTGCATAGTGATTAAATCAGGAATTATATTGTTTTCTTCATACAAAATTGCAAAGATAAAGATTGTTGTACATTCTCCATCATACTGATAAGAAGTTGCATATATACACGCTTAAGTGGTAATTAAATACCCAAGGATAATAAGGCAAAATAGCTACAATGAATACGACTGAGATTAATCTAAAGCCAAGATTTAGATTAATACAGACAAACAGAAAAAAGGATTAGTATGATGATAATGTGGAGCATAAATTTATCATATGATCTTGTGTCGAGTCATAAATGGACATAACTTAAACAAAATTACGGATTATTCAATTTGTTTTTCAGATAAAAATTCTAAACATCTATAATTAGATAAATGAATGTTTTATGAATTTCTTTGTTAAAACAGCACATTTGTTTACAAATCATCGTAAATTCGGCTATTTATGTCAATGGCCTTTCAAGTTTATTAACGACAAAAATTATTAGATAAGCATATTAGACAAGCACACTGGTGCTTTGCTGATAAAACAATCCCATTTGAGTTTTAAAGAAGAATATTATAAATGCTTGATGTACTTAAATCCTTTAGGAGTACAGACTGTTTGTATTACCATGTGCGCATAAATAAATAATCACTATCCTGCGGCATTTGTACTAATAACGATTAAAAACTTTTTACATTTTAAAAATATTTATAATATATATCAAAGTGCTTCAATCCTCTTTATGAATCAAAATAAATTAAATTATTTGAAACACATAAGTTCATTAAAATTATTAATATTCTCTCTTAAATTTTATCAATATTTAAAATACATCCAGAAACATGGTAAAAGAAACGCTTAGAGCCAATACTAACGGATAGTTTTTTCTTTATAAAAGAAAAATGTTTGAATGAAAAATTAAATGTGCTAAAGAATTAAAAAGTATATTAATCCTAATAGATGACAATTAGAAATAGGAAAATTTCAATGTCATATCTTTCTAAAAATAGGTTACTTTCAGAACAATATATTGAATTATTTAATTCAGTGTACACATATTTTTAAAAATTTTTTAATTGCCTCGCGTACTACTCTACACTTATGTATATGAGTATGAAACGATAATTAAATGAGCAAAATAATAACACTGGTAAAAAAAAAAAAAAAAATGGCATTATAATTATTGAAATTACCTGGTGTATTAGCACCGCTATCGGTTCGACTATCCGTACGTCGATTGTGGCGAATTCGCGACTGATGCGGCAAATTTATGAAAGTCATGAAACGCTTATTTTCTTCCCTTTCACTTCGTTCGTGCCGTACTGCAATTGCCTCGTCGGAAACGTCTTCAACCTATATTATAAAACGTATTCAGTAGTATGAATTTAGTTAACATATCGATAGCAATTTATTATCGTCATTTGTTTATATTGATCTTACATCATTATCCATAATAGGCTTTTGCACGGCGCCATTTTTTACATCTAAATTCGATGAATCATCGCATAGCCTCCATCTAAAAAATACAAAATGATTGTAAAAATATTTTTATTTTTTTTTTTTGATCGCCAATTTCGTAACGGTAACAATAAATTAAAATCCATTTAAAATGTTTCAACTTACTTTGGTATTTGAATTTCCTTGTAGGGTAATTTTTCAAGTCTCGTTGACGAAGCAACACTGTACGATATGACAATGTTGTCAATGTCGTACGAATTTTGCCGTAAACGACTGTAATAAGGAACAATACTTATTATTATTGATAATGGTTCGAGCAATTAATTTATATGCTTAAAACTTGGCGAATTATATAAAATGACAACTAAAACATTGTTTAAGGCAGTCCTTCCTTAAAACCAAACATTATATCCTTTGTTATAAACTTTATATAATTAAATCATAATATATAAGGTAAGGTCTTATGAAGAAACTATATTACACAATACTCCATGTTATTATAAATTATTAAATGAAAGCGTGTTATTTGATTTTAAATATTAAAAATAACAATGAAGAAAAACAATGGTTAGCTTTAATAATTAAACGTAAAATTAGATTTAAAAAATATACTCTATAAATAAATAAGCCAATGAAAAAAATATTCTCTTATTTTTATTTGATTTGTTCATGTGTATTTGTGCATGGTGCATGTCTGTATGTATTTGTATATGTGTATTTGGGTATGCTACTGTGTGTTTTAAGCAAAACTAGCATATACAAGCAAACATACAAGTAAAAATGTAGCCCTCATCAAACGCCTGCAAATTCCACTTCTTCTTGGAAGGACTACCTTAATTAAAGAAAATCTTTCTTTATTTTCTTATATAATGACATTTCATTTTTGTTCGACCTAGGTAAATACATTTACTTTTACTAATCTAATATCAACATTATATTCTTATTTAAATGAACGTTAAGTGTGTGTGGGGGGGGAGGGGGGGATGAAAATACTTTTTGATAAATTTTATCATTAATAATGGTACTGGCAATTTTGATGAAAAAAAAAAAAAAAAAAAAAAAAA